GAATGAATGAACACGGAATGTTCCAAGTTACCTAAAGTTAGGTTAATAAAAGGGTAGTAAGGGTCCGGATCTCAATGGGGAGATTGTTCCAGAGGGCCGGGGCTGCAACAGAGAAGGCCCTCCCCCGGGGGGTCACCAGCTGACATTGGCCGGCAGATGGAATCCGGAGAAGGCCTAGTCTGTGCGATCTAATTGGTCTTTGGGAGGTAATTGGCAGGAGGTGGTCTCTCAGGTATTGTGCATTATCCTAACAGGAAATAAGTTATAATTGAGAATTTTTTCCTTTAAACATTTATGTGTCCTTGTACATTATATACTGTATTTTAATATTTGATTGATTTGACCTACCAAAACCATGTGAACTCATAAAATGATATATTCTTTAAGCATAATATTTTCCTGTACTGATAGAATGAATGGGACTGTCAGAATGGTTTTGCTTTTTTGCACTTTTGCTGTAAGTCACTGTTGATATTGTATCTGAAATTATTATATTATCCAAATAACTGAGCTTAATGTAAAAGACTTCAATAACAACAGGAAGTAAAATTGTATTGTTAGTACAACAAAAAAGGCAAAAAATGAGGCAAAAATGTTAAGCAGGATTTTCTTGAAACTCACCTCCTTCCTCAATGAAGCCCATATTTTAAGGTGTAATGTTAATGTTTTAAGTTCTCCTAAGAACCTAACTATATCAACATGTCAAGTTTTTCTACATGCATGTTTTGTGCCGATTTCCATGTTATATGCTCATCATTTCTACTTTTTAAAACATTGTTACATTTGTTTATAATGATATTTTCAACTCAAAGGCTATTGATAAGCCGAAATTACTTAGTGAGACGAGTGATACCCAAGTTTGATAAATAATAAAATGTCTTGATATTTAAAAAAATCTTTTTTATGGTTTTGGTATCATTAAACAATCAATTAAAACTTTACCAGACATAGTTAAAAGTTTCTAGGTATATCACAAATATAATATTTTTTAAAGCAGTCTAAAAGAGTAACATAAGACTGCATACTTGGATTAACATGAAGATATCACCACTTTCACTCCTCAATTGTAAACTACCCATATGTCATGAAATAGCTTATTATTTATTTGTCAAATTTAGGTACTACAAATCTCATTCTCAAAGGAGGAGGAGTAAAAGTCTATATAGTGATATGGGTAAAATGATTCTTTCCACCTCAGGAATGTCTGTGCAGTATTTTTTTTTTTACAATTGACTTTCACTTTCTAGAGATCAGGTTGTCTGAAGTGTACAAACTCAATTTATGGCTTCAGCATCCTTCCTTTTATTGGCTTTTCTTGTTTTTATTGACCTGGAATCACCAGGTGTCAGGCAGAGAAATGGAGGGAATATGGAATGTTAGCTTCTACCCCATTCCCAAGTGCTTCTTGGTATTTTCGTTGGCCTATATAAGCAAGTGCTTATTTCCCTAAGGATACCTCTTTAATTAATTCATATTTTAATCCAATTAAAGATGGTGATTTTTCTTTCATAGCATGACATTTTTCCATGAAAGAAGGTTTAGTTTTTTTGCCATGTGTTTATAACTTGCTTTAAAGATATATGCACTTATGTTTTGCTTAGTTTAAGGGTATTTCTTTTTGGGACAGGACATCTGTATATCTGCTATTAAAGAGAAGGATATTGAAGCGAAGCTGGCGCAAGTAGTGGATAGCTGGGCATATCAGGTCTTGAGCTTTTCAGCATTCAAAGGAAGAGGAGAGCTCCTTCTCAAGGGAACAGAATCTTCTGAAATTATCACAATGATGGAGGACAGCTTAATGATCCTGGGTTCTCTGCTGAGTAACAGGTAAAAATAAAAAAATAATTTCTATTGTTGCATTTGTGCTGAT